GGCGACGGCGGGGGGCGGTGGCGCTGAGCCGCGGGGCGCCTCCCGCCCCCGGGGCCCCCGGTCCCCCAGCTGCGGCCCCCAAGAGCGCAGCGAGGCCGCGGGGCGGGCGCACGGCCTAGGCCGGGCCAGGCGCGGGAGCTGGGCCGCCTCCGTGGAGCCGTGCCCCGGCGGTGGGGGGCGCGGCGGGCAGGGGCCTTCTGCGCGCGGGCCTCCCACGGCCGGAGCGCCCTCCCGGGCAGGCACGCCGGGCCAGCGGTGGCCTCTGTCCCGGGCCCGCGAGAGGCCGGCCGCGGTCGTGCCGACGCTGACATGGCGCCCCTTCGGCGCGGCAGCTCCCGGCGGCCAACGGCGGACCACTGACAGGTATTTCGGCAGCCGAGTGAGTGGCTTGCAGGCCGTCGCAATCTCTGCTGCTGCGTCCACTTTTGCATTGCTGGAATGGGCTTTAGGTTTTGTTGTCCCGGTGGTCGCTTTTGTCGCAAGCCGCCCGGAGAGCCCTCGTGAGCTACGTCTTTACTTGATTAAACTTCCGTTCTGCATCGCTGGTCCTGGAGGACCCTAAGTGGATTTGCAGCAGAACAATTGAAACGGGATAAGAACACAAAATAGCAATCCAGTAATAAACAACAAAACTGAGATAGAAAAGCACACAAGATACAGCAACAGTGACAATACGCAACAGACAGCTGAGAGTTAGGAGCCAGAGATTTAAACAGTACCAGTTAAAACAGGAGAATTGTATAAAAACTGAATACCTTGGAAATTATGCAAAGCAAATTCAATTGGTGAAATGTCTGGAAAATAAAGTTGCTTTCACCTGGCGCTGAAAAGACGAGTGAAGGCACCTGGTGAACTACTTTCGGGAGGCTGTTCCACAGGTGGAGCGCAGTGACTGAGAAGCCCCCCTTCTGTTTGCCTTCCTCCTTACCTCCTTGGAGGCGGCTCCTTCCAAAGGGCCTCCAAAACTGATCTTAGGGGCCGAGCAGGTACCTGTGGGACCAGGTGCTCCTTCACGTTTCCCGGTCCTAAGCCATTTAGGGCTTTATATGTTGGAACAAGCCGCTGAAATTGATCCTAGTGGCCCATGTAGGTGATTCAGTTTGGGGGGGGACGCAAGCATGTGGACTGGCTTTCATGAGGGGTCGCATCACCTGCTTTGCACTGGTTGATGTTTCCGGACTGTCTTCAAGGGCAGCCCCATGAAAAGCATGTTACAGCAGTCCAGTCGGGAGATCACTGGAGCATGGGTGGTAACCCCTCTCCAGGTATGGTTGTCCAGTTATGGATGAAGTTGGTAAATTAATTGTGGGTGAAGGAAGGTGCTCCTGACCACTGAATCCACTCAGACTCAAGTGATAATTCGAGCACCCCCAAGCTGGGCAGAGAGACCGCTGTGGGGCCATATATAAATACAGTGAATAATCAAGCAAGTCTGGCGCATGGTTTGCTCACTTCGTGCCACTGGGAGAGACTTGTGGATGTGCGGCCATGGCTTTCCATGCTTGACACATGGCAATGCCCGGCCCCACAAGCCTGACAGACCCACACTCTGCGTGATGGGGAATGCCGCTGTTTGAATCCACGGGGGCTTAGCTGGGCCCACGCCTTGCCCGCTAATGGGACTTGCTTCCAAGCAAGCCCACAGAAGATTGAGCTGCAAGTCTCATGGTAGTCAGTCATTTTCATTTTATTTACTACATTTTTACACCCTCCAGAGCTGCCTGGGCTTATTCCCAAGCAAGAATGCGTAGGCTTGTGGGCTAAAATGACCAAAATAATCAGAGTAGGTAATATTTTTAGCATGTCCGTAGCTTATCAACATCTGGTTTCCCTGGATTAAGTCCTATATTCATTTCCTTAAGTGAAATAATACAATTAATAGTTAACATATTTTATGTATAATAGTTTATAGTTATATAAATATAATATACTATAAGCCTTTTTTATTAGCATTGACGTTAATTTTGAACTAAAAAATACTGAATTTCTTTCACAGTTATAAATGGACAGTTATGATGGACAGTTCACCATCATAAACATTTTAAATCTACCTGAGGTCCCATGGAAATGAAGTTACCTACCAGTTAAAGGCAGGCTTTGTTCAGCCTAGTACCAGCTCATGGTTTTTAGAGGTGTTTGCATTCAGTTTCTCTGACTTCCACATGCAAAAATCCTCAGGCTGGGTTGGATTGTTGTTGTTCTCTGTTTATCTGGTGGACTTTGTCCAAGCAAGGCAGAGTTAAACCGGAAAGACAACAGAGCAGAGCTGATGAAAAGGAATACTTCAAAAAACTAAACCCGATGGCTTTGATGTAGCAGTTGCAAATGACAGCAAAAAGTCTACAGCTGGATTTCTTGTCTTGTGCAAGAGAGGCTGGGCAAGGGCAGACAACCGGGACACACAATCAAAATAAGCCTCTGAGCAGAGTTGCGATGCCACAACTATCCTTGCCAGGTTGGTGACATAGGACCTCACGCCCCGCTTTAAAGAACGCACGGTGGCTTGTTTTGATCGTGTGAGCCAGGTCAGACAAGCGGGAAAGAGTGGCCCAGGAAATCGAGAGGTAATGTGACATCATCCAATATGCATCTTCCTGTATTACAGCTAAAGCTGCAAGCCCATATCCACTGAGCTGGGAAGGAACCCATTCCACTCACTTCTACGCAGGGGTCCTCCAGTTTGCTCGAGCCCTCACTCTAACTGGTATCCTGACTTCGTTTGCTTCCCAGTTCAGGTCCAGCAGTAACCCTCCCCGTTAATAATCCGGGTTCTGATTTGGGTGCATTTGTTGTCTTTTGGATGGGCAGGCACTCGGTGATAGCTGCTCTGTTTATTGGAACATTGGCGCTATTGCAAGCATCGCAGTAAATGCGCCACGGATCGAAGGCTCATGCGCTCTGCTTATCCGCTGCGGCTTGCAGGAGGAGCCCAGTGGGGGCGACCGACTGCCTAGCCTGCTCAGTTCGGCCTTCCTGTGACGTGCAAATGTGGACAATTCCTGTGTTGATAAACACGCAGGTTGCACTCTTGCTCTTGTGATCGCTTCCAAGCTATCCAGTAGAAAGGACGGCTTGGTTGCAGGTACAGCCGGAATATGTCAATCCCTGCGGTTAATTCCTCCAGGAAGCAAAGCGAGAGCTGGCCTTATTAAAATCAGTGAATCTACTTAATTAACAGACCGCTCGGCTCAGTGAGTCAGGCCCTCCCAGTACCTTTCATCTTGTTGGTTTACCAAGAGAAGTGGTCACGATGGGATATTCATTCGAGCTATTCATTCAGCAGAACTGGGGACAGAAACAAAAAATACACATTACTTAAGGCAGCTATTAGCATGGTAGAGTTCCCAGTTAGATCAGACAGACTCGTTCCAGAGATGTAAGGAATATTGCAGAAGCCTCAAACCCAGAAAAAGATGGTCAAGAACAGCTGCGGAATAGAAACGGAGTGGTTTCTGTTATTGATCTCACTTTCCCTGCAGCCTTCTTCCGCTGCTAATAGGTTTCCCCTTGAGTAACCATATGCAGAATCCTCCCCCTTTTTAAGTGCCTGCTTTAAACACCATTTTCATGCCAAAACCCTGGAGCAACGGTGGTGCTGCTCAATGGGGGGTGACCCAGAAGTGACTTTGAAGGCGCTGTTACTCCTGCCCCACGGTCCCAGTTCAGCCCTCCCTGCAAAGGGTCTGCAGGACTGGGACCCACTGGGGCAAGCTCTCGCTGCAGGGTCTGGGCCTCTAAATCTCCTCTTCGTTTCAGATGAGCACCGTGTCTGTGGATCTCAGTACCGACCCATCCCTACAGATTGACATCCCTGATGCCCTCAGTGAAAAAGACAGAGTGAAGTTCACGGTCCATACGAAGGTAGGATGGCAAAATGGGGAGGTCAGAGCTGAGGAGAAGCCGCAGCCTTGCCGTATTCAGCAACCCAGACACTTGAGCTCTGGATTTGTCCCTGGGAGGGGGAAGGCAAGGGCCCGGCGTCAGCACCGCCCTTTCTGGTGGAGTTTGCCACGCAACTGCCTCTCTGGCAGTGTGCAGCGTTGCGCTGCCTTGCCTTGTCTACCAACGTTGCGCGGCAGAACGAACACGAGCCAGGGCGAAGGAGCCTTGAGTGGCAAAGCAAAGCAAACGGTAGAGAAAGACAAAACCAGGCCCCCGAGGACGAGGAGACGGCCAAATCTCTCCCGGAGCCAGGCAAACCACAAGCATTTCGGGACAGAGCGGGATGGGAATTGCTTGCATGGCCAGGAGTCAGAGAGAGAGGCATCTGGGCCTTGAGGACTCTGAGAACCAAACGGTGCAGTTCAGATAATATGCAGGACATGTTTTTTGGCAAATTTCTTTGGCCTCTGTTTTGTCCGATTTCTACCAAAGACGGCACTGAGGGCAGCTTTGACTTAGAGAAACAAAAAAGGCCGAAACCTCTCCTGTACCCACTACCTAGTCCCAGAGTGTGGTTTACTTTTGAGTAGTTTTATAGGATCATACTGTTAAAAAACAATGGGATTACAGAGGTTTTCCCCTAAACAAGTAAGTCAGGCCAGTTTACTAAACCGCTCCCAACTATTCTCTGGGTTTAGATCCTCCCAAACACACAAACAGCCGGAGATGGAATTACTTCTTTAAAAAGGGAAAAAAAAAGAATCCCAACATAGCACATCACAGCAAAGTAACCCCCCTTCCTGTCCAGTATAGAACCTATGAATCCCTTACTGGTTTGTTGTGCCCGGCTGGTATCTGAGTTGTCCTTGTTGTCGTGTCTCACAAAGAGATCACTCATACTGTGTACTGTGTCTTTCTGGCTCCTTCTCTTTAAACAGTAAAATAAAACCAGTGGCCAAAATTTTAAAAAAGCAAACAAACCTCTGCTCAAGTCTGCAGTTGTGCTAAGATAAAATACATTGTCTGCCCTGATTAGCACACCTTAGTTTGCAAATGACTAGTGATTAGTTGATATTTACTTCCAGATGAAGCTTGATTTTATCCCTGAAACGCAGTGTTAAAAACTATTCGGTGGGGGGTCGGGGGTTCCGAACTTTTTGGAGAGGAAAAACTAGTTCCAGCAACCTTCCCGTTCTATCAGGTTCAGGAATCCTGCTAGAAGCTTCTCTTTATTCAACCACCCAACCACTTAATCAAGCTGGAACAGGATCAGTGATCTAAAGCGTGTAGACAATTTTAAAGATTTATGCCCTGATGCCATCCCATATATGAGGAAGACAGCCTTCCTCTTTCCGTGCGACTTGAAGGTGCTGCTGGGTGCCACGGAGAGCGCTTTCCCCTACCCCGGAGCTTCGCTGCTCTGCTTTTCAACCTTCCCAAACCCTCCAAGGCGCCTTTGTTCCAGCCTGCTCTTTGTAAGCTCACCCCCTGCTGCCTTGGCAGGGCAGCGCCAACCAGAGGCGGGTGGAAGACTGTGTGAATCATGGAACTGTGTTGGTGAATAAACAGGAAGGGGGCGTGAGCGCTTGATGCTTGCTTTCAGACCACACTGCCCGGCTTTCACGGCACAGAATTCTCTGTCACGAGGCAGCATGAAGATTTCGAGTGGCTGCATGACACATTTGTCGAGGCAGAAGAGTATGCAGGATTAATTGTAAGTACTTGCATTCAGAATGAGTTGGTGGCATCCTGAATAAATAGACCGCAGTCATCCTTGCTTGCTTCTCCCTTCTTCACTTAGAGGCTTTTAAGCACGGCTTGTCATTCCCCGGAACGTGGCAGGTCAAATCCAGCAAGGACGTAGCCCCCCCGGCTCCGGTTTTCAGACTCTGTGAAGGCATTCATCCAAGTCCCTCTCGGCCAGTATTTGTTCCCGCATTCCAAGTGCTCAGTCAGAATTGGCACACATTTGTTCAGGCATTTTGGATTCTGAATTAAAGTTGCTCAGTGACGGTCCTAAAACAAGCTGTTACGGCTTTCCAGTATTTCACCTTGAGCAATTTAAGAAAAGCTTAATATTTATAACATTATGGTGCATTGTTATTTGGTGTTCAGTGCCCTTTGCTGCAGAAGTCAAAGGTGGGATGCGCAGCTATTAGGTGAATAAATCTGGCGCATTGTCATATTTGAAATATTAAAAGAGGATTTGGGTCCAGCAGCAAGACCACATAACTTAAGGACTTGAAACTTGGCATTTGTGCTAAGGAGACGCCGGGGGCATTCATCTCAGCCCCTGAGCAGGACATTTCTGAACCAGCTTTGCATTGCTTTCTGGTTAACACAGTCTGAAACTCGAGGGCAGTCGTCCGAGGGACAGTTACTTGGCTCTCCTATGGGGCAGACATCCCCATCTGGAGATTACGTGGGTGCGCCGTGGCTAGGGATGCCCACAGGTGTGGCTCACGCAGGTGGGCCGTCGGGCACCGGGCAGCCAGGCCTGATGGCAGCACCGCTGTGCTGCAAGGATGTCTCCTTTCTGTGGCATTTTCTCCCACGGAGGAAGCCGAGAGGCCCACAGCCCTGTGCTTAAAAGAGCAGTTAAAATGTCTGATGCTGCTTCCAGTGGCTTTTCGCGGATGCTGTTGTTGACTTTTTAGACTGATAACAGCTCTGCTGAGGGCTGGACTTAATAAGCAAGAAGGGAAAGGCACTCCTTAAATATTGGTCCCCAGAGTATGCGATCCAGATGGCCAGGTTTTGCTCCCTCATGGTGCTTTAATTTGGTCATGCCATCCTTACTATTACATTTCAATGTAAATATACTGAACTCTTCTTATTTAACTGGCCATGCATTGCCCGCCCATTCCTGGGTATCCTTAAACTCCAGTCCCGCTGATTGGAGAAGACGTTGAATGACTACCTTGAGTGCCAAGGACTTGCTATTCCCAGAAAAAGGATCGCTGAAGCTGCATTCTCACAGCGCTCCCGTACCAATTCCTGTGGGATGCCCTGCCTGGATAGTCTTGTTGCTACCAGTGTTCTTTTTGCTTAAGATCCCTCCAGCACCGGCAAAGCCCGACTTCGATGGCCCTCGAGAGAAGATGCATAAGCTTGGGGAAGGGGAAATGACTATGCTAAAAGAGGAATTTGCCAAAATGAAGCAAGAGCTGGAAGCGTGAGTGTGATTTCTTCCAAAGAACAATCTGTTGCCTTTCCGATGGATCTGCCCCAGTTCGAGAGGGACTTCTAGAGTGCCCAGGTCGAATGTGCTAAACAGCCTGGCAAGCCTTTTAAATGTGCACTGACCTTTCCACAGTATTTTATGATTGGTTTGTTAAATGTGTGCCGAAGCCTCCCTGTTGGCATCGTGCTCTCGGGCGGCCAGAGAGACCGCGGTCGGGGCAAGATGTACGTGCTCTGCACACTGCTCTTTCACCTCACTCATGCCTTGCCATTCCTCCACGGGGGTCACAGCTTGGCCTTGTCGCCTTAGCAACCCCTTTCTCAAATCACCACAGAACGGGAGAGTTTCATCAGGTCCAGCCCCTGGCTCAGTGCAGGATTCCAGGTAAAGCCTACCAGTCGGCTGGAAGTGAAAATCAGCTTATCCTTCCAAGTCTATCCCAAGAACATTTCCTTGTCATTTTTCAGCACAGTATTTCTAAACGGGCAATTTAGGATTATAGAACAGTTCAGGGCGTCAATGAAATGACATTACGCAGTGTGCTTCTAATCACCAGAACTGCGGGAGCAGCCCTGCACAAGCCTTCCAAGCAGCTTAGCTGCTATAATATTGGCGCCATGAAACAACCGCAGCTTTAAAGATGCAAGCAATTAAAGCAGCTGAACGTTTGAGAAAGCGCTCGATGGTGGGCATCCCGAGAATGGTACCAAGCAAGGAGGAGCCAGCCAGCTTGCTCACTGGGGTGACTTGCTCTCCTTCGGGGCCTCACGCTGGAGCGCAGGCAGCATGGCGTGTGCTGCCCTCATTTCAGAAGGGGTTCCTTTCTTCCAGGGAATACCTCGCTGTCTTCAAGAAGACCGTGACATCCCATGAAGTCTTCCTTCAGCAGATCGCTGCTCACCCTCTTCTCAGACAAGATCACAACTTCCATGTCTTCCTTGAGTATGACCAGGATGTAAGGAATTTTGTCTCTTAGACTGTTAGGGCAAGTAAGCCAAACTTGAGTCCCGCAAAAACTGAATCTGTGCACACACTCGGTCAGTGGCTCACCCAAAGCCAGCTTGTCCTCCTGGTTTGTCCTCCTTTGTTTCCCGTTTTGTACTGCCCAAACTGAGAAACTTTGCATTGTGTGTGGCAATATCCCCATCTTTTTTTATGATCTACAACTATCTGACTTTTGCAGTATTTTCTCAAATTAACGAATATCTCTTGCAGCTCAGTGTTCGGAGGAAAAACACAAAGGAAATGTTTGGGACCTTCTTCAGAACTGTGGTAAAGAGTGCTGATGAAGTTCTTCTGTCTGGGGTTAAGGTAAGATCTCTTGTGAAGTTTACAGTATTCTTGAAGCAGATGGCGACAGAGCACCCAGAGGTGTGGAAGACCATTTTGTAGATGTTTGGGGTGCTTGCAAACACATGCAACTCACTGTAGAAATTATAGCTGAGGAGCAAGTCTAGCAATTCCAAGCAATCTTGCAATTAAAGAATTGTTTAAATAAAATCATATTGTGCTAATCGTACTAATTCTGTTAAGTACTGGAGATGTCTGACTAGTAATGTGAGGTTTTCCACATCTGGTGGAGTGTCATGAAATATCGGACAGTTGGGAAAATGTTTTAGGAGTTAGCAAAGGAAATTACAAGAGATGCCGTGTGTGTACTGAACGATCCACGAAATAGTGAAGAGACTGCATGAAGGCTGAGGGCGAAGTCCAGTGGCCCCTGGCAGCCACTGGCAAAGATGGTGCTCACAAAACAGCTTCCACTGTGCCTCTCAGTCAAGCCAAATCAGGTCGAATAAGTGAGGGATCTTCCTTGGCAGATGCAGGGAATCCCATTGCTGAAGCCAAAGCCCACTTCTGCACGGTGGCATTTGCCCTCGGCGACTAACAGGCCGACTGGGTGGTGCATCTCCTAGCAAAGCTGCTTTCAAAAATGAGAAGATGACAGCATTAGAAAAATGTTGCGGAAAAACCGGAGATGCAAGGCCGGGAGGGTGGGGGATGGGACAGCTGCCTCTGTCCTTCCACTCTGGACTGGGTGCCCGTTGGCCTCCATACTTTAGGCCATCAGCTGTGATTTGTGATATTCCCCTTAAGGTGCAGATGAGTGCGTCTGCATCTGTAATCCCTGGTTTTTCCTCCTCGTCCTTTTTCTCAGCTTTTTATTGGCATTCTGCTTTTGTTTTTTAAAGATGCCGTAGAAAAACCTTCAACCTTAGGGAAGCATGGAAGAGAATAGACATATTAAGAACTCGCTGGCTCAAACAGGTGTAGCCACCTTGGAGCTGGGATCTTTCTGCAACCTTAGTGGTTCATACTGGGCATATTAAATTAGTGTAAGTAAAAGTAAGATCAGCAGGAGTTGGTTTGTGTGAGCGAAAGCACTGAGGAGTTCTCCTCTGGAAGGGCCCCACTGGGAAGTGAACGGTGTTGGCGCAGCTCCACCAGCCTGAGTCCTCACATCACACAGCCGGCCTTTTTCACGTTGTGCAAGCAGCGTCTTGCCTGGACTTGCTCTGCCTGCCCCCTGGGGTCCCATTCTCGCCCCAACATCTCTCTTTGCAGGAGGTGGATGATTTCTTCGAACAAGAGAAGACGTTTCTCGTAAACTACTACAACAGAGTCAAGGACACGTGTGCAAAGGCAGACAAGATGACACGATCCCATAAAAGTAACTTTTCATCAGAGAAATCCTTTCCTTGGGGTGTTTTTAAACTGCTCAGGTGCAAGACTGAAAACTCATTTTCGTTCTGCCTCAACAGATGTTGCAGACGATTATATTCATACGTCCGCTTCCTTGAATAGCCTGGCTTTGGACGAGCCGACTGTCATTAAAAAGTAAGTCCACGCCGTTTCTCTTAAAAAAAAAATGGTTCTAACAGCCATTCTCAAATTTTGTCACAGGGAATGAGTCTGTGAAGGTCTACGCTGTATATGAGATCCAAGATCCATAATTACTTCTCCTGGTATCTTTTTCTTTTGTTAAAAGCAGCTGGGAGGATACAAATTTACCACTACCAAGTTGATAGGGAATTTAAGAGCTTCCAGGCTGTCAGCGAGAGCCGCATTGATAGCAAGAAGCTAACCTGAAAGAATAACGGTAACTGGAAAGTTGCTGGGTCTGCAATCAAGAGGAGTTCCCAGAGGTTAAACGGCTTACTTTAAGGAAAGTTTGCCCTTAAACAAAGGACAACTTACAGCTCGGCCTCACTGGCCAGACTCTCATTCCTTGCAGGAGAAAAACCTTGGGGGAATTAATGCTTCATCCACACTCACAGGGTGACTTTGGGCCAGTCACGGACCCTCGGCCCAAATGACTTCAGGGGGGTGTGAGCATCAGATTGTGTGGAGGTGGCAAATTGGGTGAGCTGCCTTGAGCAGCTGGGAAGGGAAAATGCAGGGTTAGGGTTAGGTTTTCAAGCAAACTTTGAATGCAGGATTTGGGAGACACCGTTAACGTTCTCTTCAAACTCTCTTCCTCCCCAGGTACTTGCTGAAAATTTCAGAACTCTTCGAGAAACTCCGGGTAACTTAACTGTACTTATTTTATAAGAGTTCTACCCTGCCTTCTCTAAAAAGTAGTCCATGGTTTATTAGAAATGCTGGAAATCAAATTGTAAAATCTAAATACCTTAACACGGCAAGATAAAACCGTTACCTGCAAAAGCAGAAGAGTTCAAAATAATGACAGTAAGGGGCAGTTCGGGTCAGGTGTCTAAACGTTTCTGAAAAGGAAGACACGCTATTAAGAGCTACTAATCCCACACCTCAGAGAAAGCTTTTTCTCCCTCATCTCAGCTAAGGCAGACTTCAGGGACAGTGAGAACACACACGAGGGCCTCCCCTCTTAACGAGTTTCTTGCTGCTGATAAACAATCCCAGTGGACAACTTATAAAGTTTCTAAAAAGCAGGATGTGCTTTAAGTCCAAGCAGTATTTTTTCCCATTTGGAGATACTACACTCGGCATGTGCGAAGTCATAGCAAAAATTCGGTCCTTATAATTTTTAATTATGACATCTTCTCCACAGAAAGTAGAGAATCGTGTGTCTTCTGATGAAGATTTGAAATTGTCTGAGTTACTAAGAAACTGTATGCTCAATATAGAAGCAGCAAAGGTGAGTCGCACACGTCAGCCCCGTGTGGTCCGGACAGCAGCTATTCCTGCTACTTCCCAGTCCTACTCTGTATTTCTGAAGAGAGACAGAACTTCCAACCTAACAGAGGGAGGGAGGCATTCCCTGTCCTGCAGTGCTGGAGCTCATGTGTCCAGGACTCTTGCAGAGACTAGAGCGAGTGTCCGCTCTAAAGCCCTGATATTTACACAGTTTCTCTCCGAACATGAGCTTCCCAGGTGAGCTCGTGCCAATAGTTGCAAAGGGGTGGATGGCCTCTGGATGGCCTTAGCTATTGCTTCTCTGCGTGAGAGGACAGCTCCTTGCTCGCATTTGCTAGGTGCTGTAGACGAGGTGATTTCCAGGTGTCTTGGGACAATGGCTCCTCCTCCTTGCAGGATAGTTGCCCGATCTCCTTACGGGGGAAATGTCTGCAAGAATTCCAGGGTTCTTTCCGCTCTTGCACCGGCTGGCCCAGGATACGAGGTCCTTCTTGAATTCTCTCCCCAGCACGGCCCAGGGCCTAAAAAGCCCATTCTGGCCGGGGCCTTTCTGGTTCTGGTGCCAATATTAATATAGTTGTGCGGACCGAGGAGGACACCTTCCATGGGCCCTTTGCAACTTCTCAGGCATGTTTTCACTCCCATTAAAAACTAGGCTGTGTCAAGGAATTGCAACTCCTGATTAACTCTTCATAGCATGACGACCTGAAAGGTTGCACTGGTCCCCTTGTTCTAGGGACTCGGGTTGCTGCTGGAGACTGATTCCTCTAAGGTAGTCAAGGGCACGGATGGAAGTTGGCCAAGCCACCGTCTAGCAGGACTGTTCCAGCCCATAACTGGATGTCCCAGTTTCTGATGCGTAGACTGAGACTTAGAAAATCACTAGGAAATGGGACTTACTAGCAGAAGTGTGGTGCCTGGTTATTAATGCCCTTCTAGCGACTTTGGTCCTGCATCTGCACAGTTCACATTCTGGAATGATGCATTGTTGCATTGCCTGCTTTCGTTAAACCTCAGTTAAAATAAAATTGGAGTCTTGCTTTTGGACTGAATCGTTTTCTCTCCCTCAAACCCGTATGTTTTCTTCTATAACTTCATCCACTCAGGATCTCTTGCACAGACGTACCCGGGCCCTCATGGACTATGAACATTCAAATAAAGCTCTAGATAAAGCTAGGCTGAAAAGCAAAGATGTCAAAATAGCAGAAGCGCATCAGCTGGCATGCTGTCAAAGGTTCGAGAGACTTTCTGAATCTGCAAGGCAAGGTAAGGGGATCTTGGGGATCCTCTCGGGTTAAAGCCCTGCACTGTGTTTATGTACCTGACGCGTTATGCCGGAGAGTTGTTAGTCTAAAGTTCAGGAACATGGCCAAAGAGAAAGATCTATCCTTAGCTACTGTTGTTCGATCTGTTAATGGTGGGGGGTGGCGGGGGACACATTGCACATTGCGGTTCCATTTTGTGGTGATGATTGCAATAGATAAAACTGGTCCTGGCAAAATCCCCCCCCCCCCTTTTTGGCCTTAAGTTTTAGGAGCAATGTTCAGATCGCAGGAGTGGCCAAAGGGCTGCTGTGTTTTAAAAGGCTCCAGGGGCCTCACTTGACACAAACTGGGAGGGTGAAATTATGGGGTAGGCTTGTGAATTTCAGTAACGGCTCCTCTGCCTCTTCTTTTGTTACTGGAACACTAAGCAGGGGTTAAAAAATAAGATTGTACTATCTCCTGGTACAGTTTTTTCCAGCAAGTGAACAATCAATGCAAGGAATTAAATTGGATTTTTTTTAAACAACAAAAGCCAATAGGGCAGCCCCCCAAGAACCTTACTCGCATGCATCTGTGCTCAGTTGCTTTCCGCTTCCATGAGAAGTGAAAATGTTCAGGGCATCGCCGTCTAGGTTTAGTTTTGTCTGGAGGGAGGCTTAGCTGGAGGCTTATGGGATTGAGATTATTAAGGCCCAATACAGACAGTGCAGATCATGTTTCTACAAACATCAGGCCTCCAAACTCGGAGAGATGCAAACACAAAACACGCCCTCTGGAAGGACAGCTCTCGTGCTCACTTTTCTGCCTCTGATTAAAGAAACTTCCTCCCTAACGCCTGTCCTCCTAAAAGAAAGTTAAGTTTATGCAAAATCAGATGGAGTGAGGGACCCTTGGAGACTGCGTGTGCAAACCTGTCCTGTCTCTCTCCTCTCAATGGCAGAACTGAACAGCTTCAAGCAGAAGCGCGTAGCGGCTTTCCGTAAAAATCTGATTGAAATGACTGAACTTGAGATTAAGCACGCAAAGGTATGTGCTCTGGTGCAAGCGGGCTGCAGGCAGGGCTTGCCATACGCGTGAGACCTTTCCAGACCTGCTTCTGCCTTCGACCTCCTGGTGCCCTCCAGGCATTTTGGGCTATGGCTACCAGCGTTTCTGACCAGTGGCCAGGCTAGGTGGGGCCGCTGGGAGCAGAAGCAAAAAAATCCGGAGGGCGTCAGGATGGGAAAGGTTCAGCTGGCTGGTCTTTCGAGCTAGCCGATGAGAGGCCTGGGAACTGGATCAACCTGAATGAGAGGGCAAAGGTGAGCAAGGTGAGCTGCAGACCCGGTAGCACCTGTACGCCGAGCTATAATCTCTTGCTTTCTTTGACATGGCGAACCTCCTGCAACAGAGGTGGCCGTCCGCAATGAAATCCCACAGAAATCGGTGCCTTTTAAGTCGTGTTAGGATCATCCCATTCCATGGTTCTCTTGGTTTCTCCATGCCCAGCTTGACCCTGAAAGGTTTAAGGGCATTCTGATGTGCGGGGAGGGGGACTAGGTGTATCCCATGGAGTCGAGTGGAAGGAGGTTTAGGACAGATAAAAGGAAGTCCTTCTTCACACAGTGTGAACTTTGGAATTCAGTGCCGTGGGAGGTGGAGAAGGCCGTCAATCTGGATGGCTTTAAAGGGCAGTTGGAGAGATCCGTGGTGGAGGAGGCTGTCGGAGGCGCCCAGCCCTGCTGGCCGTGGGCTGCCTCCTTCGCCAGGGGCGGCCTGCCTGCGCGCACCCGTTGCTGAGGAGCTGGGCAGCAGGAGGCCTGGCCCCCGTCCTGCTGGAGGGATCCTGCGAGCAGCTGGGCTGCCACCGTGCGTACTGAGCGCTGAACTAGATGGGCCTCAGTTCTGATCCAGTTAGGCTCTGTCTTTAGCCTGAATAAAAAGGTCAGCTATGAAGTGACAAGGGAGGCTCATTAGTGGGAAGATACAGGATGGTGCAGTTAAGCTTTGAAAATGGGGTGCGGATACACCCAAGCCGCTGAGCGCGCGCCCTGCTCCCGCATGTCTGTTGTTTGTTTGAGGGACGGGTGCTCCTTGGGGATCGGGGTGGGCAGCTTGCTTGCGACCCTCCTGATGCCTTGATGCTCAGCACCGACTGGAGCCATTGCCCCGTGTGGCCCAAGTCCCTGGAGAGGCCCGAGTTGCCCACAGCCTGGTAGTTTGCGTGTGGGGATCGCGTGTGGGGATCGCGTATAGTGTTGCCAACGGATTTCCGGATCCCCTCTGAAAGTCGAATGCATTGAATGGGGAAGGTTGGTGTCTGGCCACCTCCCCTGCCAAGCTCACTTATCCCCTTTGCCTTCCAGAATCACGTTTTGCTTGTGCAAAGCTGCATTGACCTGTTCAAGAACAACTGAAGGCCTCAGGATACGACCGCGAGAGGAGCAGGGGAGACCCTTGGCAGTGCAGCGACGCCTTTCTAGCTCGGATTCCTTGGATTGCCGTGTTTGGCTGAACACTTCCTGGGCTGCCACTAGTGATATAACTACTAATGATAAATATTGCACTATATATAGATTTTCTCAAACGGCAATTAACATTGTGTGATTTTTTTCCAAGAGGACATATGGCGTGTGCATTGATAACTGGTGAATTGCGATTGTGGTGGAAACTCGCTTCTGCGAAAGCTGTTTAGGATTGCCAAGGAGTTTGTGTAATGGAAAATTTAGCACAGGGCTAAAACTATCTCAGAACTATTTTGCAAGTGACTACAGAAAAAGTTTTTGCAGTTTTATAAGCAGCTATTCTAACATTCCATTTCATAGACTTCTGTTGCAATTATTTTGGATTCAGTATTTATACACTCTTGGACAATGCAAAATAAAAGATGTCTAACCATTAGGATGGTCTTGATTAAATTGTCTTAACAGCACTGAACTGAACTAGATGCCTTCTCACCTTTCTTTACTTGAAAGGTAGGCAGCTGTTGTCACTTCACAGATGGAAACCAGGCAACCTGGCCCTTCCCAGATGTCCTGGACTATGATTCCCAGAAGTCCCAGCCAGTGGTTGAGGCAACTGGGAGCTGTAGTCCCAAATCTCTATAGAGCATCTTATTTCCGATCCCTGGAAACTGTCTGGTCTTCCATGCCAGCTTAAGATCTGAACTGGCCGGCGTGGCGCCGACTCGGCATTACAGCGTCCTCGTTGGGTTGGTGTGTCGGTGGAACCCGCTCGTTAGCAGGCTGCCCAGCAGCCACTGAATCCCAGTGTGTTGTGCTCACCGTGTCTGCCTTCTACACAAGTCAAAAACAACCTCGGGGCACAGCAGTTGGGACACAGGCAAAGCTCGCCCCCTGCACCTCCTGCCAGCCACCAAGCCCGGAGCCGGCGGCACGCTCAATTCCTCCAAGCCTGTGAGGTCTGGCCAAGGTGGCCCGGGTCCAGCGCGCCAGGACCGGGGCCACGGGCCGGCACGGGCTGCATCCCTCCCTCGGGCAGGAGGCGATTCCAGCAGCCCCTGGGCGGCCGGGCCCTGGCTCGGCGGGCTGGCCTGGGGAGGGCACGGCGGGCAGCCCAGAGCCGCTGCCTCTTCCCGGTCCTCGCCCGGGAGCGGAGCAGCGCTTCCCCAGCCGCCGGGGCCAGCCAGTGGTGCTTCCCGGGAAAGCTCCGGGTGGCCTGCCCGAGAAGCGCCGCCCGCGGGCGAAGGGGCTGGGCCGCCCGTGCGGCAGGGCACGGGCAGAGCCGCGGCCGGGACCCCACGCACCGCGGCGCCGATCCGCGGGCTGAGCCCGGCTCCGTCCCCGGGGGGCCGTGGGGAGGCCCGCCCGGCGCCGCACC